GAAGAAATCTCAGATTAGCAGCCCATATAAATGGTACCAGAATAAATTAATCTGTTATTGGGCGATGAAATCCCCATTTTCAGTTTTGAATGCATAAATCTTAAATCTGACGAAGAAATCTCAGATTAGCGGCATGAATTAATCTGCGTGGCGAAGAAATACAACTGGCAGTTATATTTAATCTGGGCAATGAAGAAATCTCGCTGCAGTATATTTACTTTTAATTGTGATTTGAGCGATGTTCCTCATCTCCATAAATGAAGGCCTTCTTGTATCTATCGCGTATCATTGTAGTCATTAAGGTGATGCAACTGAATAGCGAATTAACGGTGTAATTCTAGCCTAGCTAACTAGTAATCCGCCATTGTCTGTGAAGTGAATGTGCTGTTTTGATTTGTGAATGAAGTTGTATGCGACACGTCATAACTGACTGCGCTTAAGTTTCCCATGCATGTTTACAGCAGCACAAGTTCTGCTCCATTTGCGCGTGTTGTAAGTTGTAAGAGGTGCAAGCAGGCTCTTCCGGTTCAATCTGATAACATCACACACGTCACAGACCTTTGTGTGAACAAAGAACTGCGTGTAGCCAACGCTAACTCTTTAGCAGCCATACAGGCTAAGCTAAGCCCTTTACCTCAACTGCTAGCTGTTAGTATCTGACTAACACTTAGATAGGTGTGAGTGTAAAGTTTGAACCACTCCTGCTCTCTCTCTCTCCCCCTCACTCTTGGTTTCACTTCCTATTTGTGCTATCACCTTCTGTTTAGGCTCAGTTAGGTTGGCCCCTCCTCAAATACTTTGGTTTTATTTGTGTTATTGTTATTTTATTCTTCTTCTCTTTGATTTTATTTCATTAATTTACCTTTGTTTAGCTTGAATGTACTAATTCAGCTAAGTTGATTTTAATTAAATCTGAGCTTTAATTCAATCAATTTATTTATTTTTCCTTTTAGTTTCCTACAGCTATTAGGACTTTTTCGTTTTACTTTGACCTTATTTTAGTTTGTTTGACCATCACCATCTTCCCTCAAGGTATAGGATTATAGCAGTTCTAGCAACTGTTGTATTCTTAATGAGCCGTACAGGTTGTAGCCTTAATTAATAGTTCTAGCAACTGTTGTATTCTTAATGAGCCGTACAGGTTATTAGTAGCCTTAATTCCTGTCTCTGCTATACCCCTCCTTACTCCTCAGCACTAGGTCTATTACATAAGGTACAGTTGCCATGCATTATGCTACAGGCCTCTGAGAAGACTAGAAACACTTCCTAGTGTCTTTGTTTATGTACCTTGAGGTGTTTGATGTGTCCCTGCAAGCTTAGCTAACAGACCCCCTAAGTTTATGACCCTGCTGCAGCATTTCTTTTAACAAGTGACAACTGCCTAGTTGTATCTCCTAGCTTAAACTAAATAAGGCAAGCCCTTCATTCTCTCTCTGTCTCTTTCTGATTTTATTTCAGTTTTGTTTTATCTGATACCTTCATAGTGACCAAACCTGTGAACCATCAGTGCTTTGAGTAATAGTTTGACCACATGTATAGCCTTAGCTGACCCCTGCTTACAGCCCCATCAACAAAGTTACTCAAACTCTCTCTTTGTGTTCACGAACACAAAAACATAGCACCCTACCTCACTAGCGGCCCCTCACCAGCTATTCACACCTTACACAGCCTACACAGCCATCCCCCATACAGATTGCTTAACACCTCTGTACGTACTTGCATTTGCCTTCTGCCTCTCTCTGTCTGGTGTTCCCACAAGTGTGCCAGTATGTCGCAGACATTCCACAGACATCCAGCCCTGCCAGCTCAGCAGGACCACCACCTGCAGTCTTGGACCAGTGTGAACCACCAAGATAGACTCTATCTGCTCTGGATCACCTCTAGCCCAGAGGTGCGACGCTTCCTGGCTCGACAGCCAGGACACATCCAATCAGACTACCAGCGGCTTAAACAAGCCATCATAAAGGAATTCTCAGACCCAGAGTCTGAACACGGACTGATCGCTGCCCTAGACACCAAACAGGACCGGCATGAAACTCCGCATGCTTACTACCACAGACTTCGACAAGCTCACTTTGGAGCTTGCAATTACCCTGGGATGGATGAGGATACCAGCTTCAAGAGCCTATTCCTCCGAAACCTCCACCCCATTGTAAGTCACCATATAGGCATTATGGCCTGCCCCACAATGCCTATTCAACAACTGCGTGACCTGACACAGAAGGCCTTTAACAAGCACAAGGTCTCCACCAAAGGTGTTTGTAAGACCTCACTGATTCTGAACTGCACAACCCAGAATCCAAAGCAGGCACCAGAAGGCACCCAGCATTGCCACAATGCAAGGCCCTTCTACAGAAAACCACTAGCCAGCAGAGGACAGAGCCATCACCATGGCAACAGACCCAAGTTCCAGACCACCCACTGGGAGAAGCCATGGAAAAGGGCATCCTCATCCTGCAAACACCACGGTATGTCCAACAGCAGTCCACCACAACATCCTCCTCCACACCCTTCACACCGGTGCCAAACGGATGCTGCACACGAATAGCTGGACACGCCTGCTTCTGAGTTACAGGAGCTGCTGACACTAGTAAAAGAGCTCCTTAAACAAAACTCAACTGAGGAGTACTGGGAAGGACTTCGGACTCCTTGCGTCCCAAGGGAGGAGCATCCCTTAAAACCAGTTGACACCCCAGAAGCAGCCAGACAACGTTGGATGGAGCAACGGGTCTACATTCCCAACAGCGAAACCTCTACCAACACAACTCAGGCAAGCTCAAATCTGTGCCGCCACAAGAGCAAAGCGACACCGCAAACATCAGATTTCTAGTGACGTTCGAGCAAAACAGAGGGCTAACAACCACCTGCCGCTCTCCTGCCATCATCACTAGGTCAGTCTGAAATTCTCTGCACACTACAGAATCTCCATAGCAGTTCCCTGCAATCCCTGGAACCACCTGCACTCTCACCAGTGAGAGTCTAACCCGACTGTTCCAAAACACGGGTACCACGGATAGCCTACTGGCTAACAACATCGACAAACAACCATCTTACCCAGACCAACTCACTTCAGGATGACAGGTGACACAGCCTTGACACCTGCTGCATAAGCTCGAGGACTCGCACCGTGCCACAGCCTACATCACCACAGCACACCACCTGACAGCATTCACCATGGCACCACAACCACTTCTGGAGGCAACAACAGCCAGAGAGCCACCACTGTCTCCCAGCCGTGGGTGGCAGATGCGTGTCTGATTGTTCTGCACCTTTGACGTTGCTCGCTGTTGTCTATTCGACAGACAACAACGTTCGAAAGAGGGGATATTTGTAGCGTCTGGACCAATCAGACACAATTTTTTTTAGTTATATTTAACAAATACTCTGTAACACCCCTCAGTTACCAAGCCATATGAGGGTCTATGGACCCTTCCCCCGAAATGCGTAACACCTCAGGAAAGCAGAACAGGCCTCTGGTTCCATGGCAACCAATGCTGACTGATATCACTGGTTTAATTGCCCAAAGG